TTAGTATTAAAATAGGCATCGTGCAAATCGCATATAACTGTAAACACTTTAAATGACGGCTTACCAATCAGCAGTAGCATAACAAAGAACCTTGGAATCATCGTTTTGTGTTGTGCTGAAGTTAATATTTGGAGTAAAGCTTAACATCAGATATTTTCGCATAATATTGAAAGCTATGCACTGAACGAGATTTTTTTTACAATATAGCTTATGTTGAGGTAAGAAGTCCGTTTAACGTTGGGAGTGGTGGGCTTGGGAATGCAGAAGTTATCTGACCTTTGGCGACTGAGGTACGGCGAGTGACACAGCTCTCTCATAGGTCCAATTCTTTCTCCAGGGACGTCAACCAATCGCACTACTGAAGCAGATGCTCTAGGTGGCTCTACCATTAGTCGACGCGGTGCATCATCGGGATGACTTACTATGTGTATGCTGCAGCTTTTATGCTTCACAGCAATTTGCATAAGGTATAGATCAGTTATAAGGCAATCGCATTACTTACTGATAGAAAGATATTTGTTTCCATCGACCTTTAATGCTTCGACGTCTCTGTTCCCGAAAATATGTGTTGGCCCGTTATATGAAACAGATTGACTGCAAGAAAACGTTAAAAAAAGCAGTAAAAATCACAATGTACATCTTCGAAAAAGAAGACTTTGATGATTAAATTAATTTCAGCGACAAATGAAGAAATACATTTTAGCGCTCTCTGTGCAATTTGCGATAACACTTAGGTTGCGGTCTTCGCATTAGTACACTTTGGCGAACAATAAAATGCAGAAAAAAATGTATTGCCAGACACTGCGTGAAAAACAAGGCTGGTTACTTAATGCTGTACCGCACTTCGCTTGACCTTATTTTAAAATATATCCATAGCCATCGCAGGAATGGAATCCGAAACGATCACAAAGGACCTATTCTATGTCAAAATTGGTTCACTCTTATTTTTAAAACTTACAAATCTCGCAACGCATGACATCTTACCTTTGCTGCAGCAAAAGCGGAAGAAAAACAACAAAATGACATTGCTGTGAAACCGTATTCTGAGAACTGTACCTTTACAGCCAAAGGGAATCTACTACGCTCGGTGGGAACTTATGTTCAAAATATAGTACATGCCACGGAATCTTGATGAAAATATTACGATAGTAAATTTTTTTTGCGTAAGGCTAACTGAAAAACGCATTCACAGCTATTAACGGAAAATAGAAGACTCCTCGGAAAACCGTGTTATACTCGTTAATGTTAAAGCAGGCAACACTTTTCCGTAGTCAGACGAACTAAAACGTCAGGGCTGAAATTGTCGCAGTAGACAGTTCGGGGCAGAGGTTACATGGAACAGGGGTGGGAATGCGTGGTTTATACTGACAGGAATCCTTCTGATTAAGGTCCTGCAAGTGAGAGCTGTGAACATTGTGGGCTATGTGTTCGGTGGTATCCCGAAAAAAATTAAGTTCTGGTTGGTCTATCACCAATATACTATTGCTGTTTCACGCTGGTCAAATGTAAGTGGATTATGTGTGCAAACCGGCGTAATGGCGTAACGGCCTTGGCCCGTTTCTATGGCCTCCCCAAAATGCACGAGGAAGGTGCTCCTCGTAGCGCACAACGAATGACTTTAT